TGCTTGAATTCGAAAATTGGAATGCAAGATCCATGACAAAGAAGGGAATATTTTCGTTTTTAATGAGAAAAATCGTACTCTTGTGGCTTGTTTCACTGCAACAGGTTACAAAAGAAAACAAATGAAGTTACTGATCCAAGTGGCAGTATACCAAGATCAATATAGCACAGCACACTATTTGGGGAACAGGTTTTATTAGAAAATCTACAAGTGCATCATGAGGAGCATGGGGCAAGTTTGATCACGGACCATTTACCCAAGGATGTGCAACCGTGAGCGGCCCCAGTGCAAACACATGTGTGACCTTGGTTCCATGCGTGTTACGGATTGTTATTACCCCCGCAGGCACTCTCAACTTTTCTCGAGAAAACCTGGGGCCACATGACACACGTTGCAGCATGCAGCATGTACAGTGCAGCCGTGGTTATGCCGAGACGACACGCCGCTTAAATTTATTCATTTCGACGAATAAATCTTCTTCGTTTATTGATTTCAAGCAGAAACGAAGTTTTAATGAGGCAAAATTCCCCAATTTTGTGGTACACTTTTCTCAGAATGTATAGGATGATATATCTTGAGCAGCATATTTTTAGAAAGGGTGTACCCTGACTTAAAATATTACAAGAAAACAAAGTGGTAGACATGAATATTTGTTTTATTATTAGAGAAAGTGTTACATAATCCAATTTAATTTCTGCTTTGATATTGTGCTAGCCGTAACACGCATTGAACCAGCTCTGAGCTTAAGTTGCACATCCCTGGGTATGGTCCGTGGTTTGATCAAGGACCAAAGTTAACCACAGTTCGACTAACTCTGATTGAACGCTCGCTAGTCGATGATGGTTGTACTAGTCTAGTCAATGATTGGCGACCAGCCTGTCGAGGTTGGTCGCATCGTTGGTTGCCATAAACCGTTTTTAATAGCACAATGCAGAGAGGACCAGTTATAAGAAGAATGCCCCAAAACAGTATGTCACTAGTAAATGGCCATTTTCACTTTTATTTTTACTATTTTGCCCTTCCTGCGGCCACTTTTTCTCCCCTTCGGCCTAATGACCTGACAAACGGTTGACTGGGGTCGTTTGCACTTCAACTTTACCGACCTGCAATACCAGTAGGTAAGTCACCATCCAACCACTAGCCGTCCTTGACAGAACTTGCCCATGACTACAGAGAGTTTGTTTGCATGAAATACAGTTTGTCTTCGGCCTTCTATTCACAAGTGTCCGTTGCCAATAACGAACATTATACAGGACAAAAAGCAGGTGAAAGACCTGGGACTTTCTGGGCCCTGCAGGACCTTCACAAAGGCCTTGAAATGCTGGCTAGCCTGCAGACGCCACAATCCAACCCCAGCTGACATGAACATTCCTGGCATCTACAGGTGCAAGTCACTGTGCCAATTCTGCATGACAGCTTCGGTCAGGTAAGGAGTCTTTGGTGATATGGCGTTGTATTCTCCAATGCAGACAGCATGAGAGGAACAGGTGTTTACAAGGGTATCAGGTTGGTACAGTAGTCCTTTGTTCATGTTCCAGCTCTGTGGCACGGATTCTCATCCCGCCTTGTTGGAAAGTGGATTGAATGTTCAGTCCAGATTTCAATCCACAGGTTTTCCCTGGAATAACTCTCCATAGTTTTCCTCCCATCTCTGGTAACTGCTTCTCATTATCTCCTCTCTACAGGTTTCTTTAGGATTGCAAGCTACAGTGCCTGGGTTACTTTCAAGGAATCCTCAGTTTACGTTACCCAAAAGTAATAAACTAATGAAAGAATTCCCGACTGACTGGCAAATCACACCGAACGAGCAAAGGTTAGAGTACCTACCAAGCTCTGTCTTCACCTGGACCTCCGCTGAGTAGGGTCCCTGGCCCCCGGCGTTGCTGTAGGACATCTTGACCGCGTAGTCTGTGTTCTCTCTCAGTCCCATGATGGTGAAGTTGTTGGCGGTGATATCGGTGACCTGGACGGTCTCGTATGACATGTTGCTGTCCAACTGACGGAAAGCAATGCTGTAGTGGCTGAACGATGCATCGTCAACGGACTGTAACAATCAAAGGGCATCATCGAGAACAATAGTTTACTTTGGCTTCTGTCTTTGGCAAATTGCCCGTTGTAAGGAATGAAGATCACTCAATGAGAGGGCTATGAAAGATGGACAGAAAGGAAAAGAAGCCAACAACAGCCAAGGAACACAATTAACTTCAATGTCAAATATGCAGGAAGAAATTATGCTTGAATAGGCTGTTGACATCTGGGCCCAATACTGTTAGCATTGCTAAACTAATAGCCAGTTTTGTGATCAAAGTGCCTCCATTTCCATGGAGACTGTAACTAACAGTATAAGTGCAGCCAAAATAAGCTTCATGCCAGAGGAAATAGTTGTTCAAATGACTGGCATAGAAATCTCTAAGCGCAAGTAACCATCAGCCCATCTACGCCAAGATACAGTGCTTACCACTGAAAGAGTCGAGAATCAGGACCCCCCCAACATTTCTCCTCGGCCTTTTTTTGTGTCGCCTCGAGGAATTTTCTAGTAACACCTTCCAATCCTTTTGATGACCTTTCCCTTCCTTTTTATGAAAATCAGACGTACCAGCCTTGCAAAACACCCACTTAATATGAGATGGGTCATGCCCCAAAATGATCACTTCCTCCCACTGAGTTGCCCAATGCAAGCAGCCCAACACATATGATACTGTAAAACTACAAATGACCACTGAACTGAATTGAAGCTTCCAAAAAGATCAGTTATGAGCCCGGGGCTGCATCAAGAGAGGATGCGATTTTTCAACCAACGCAGGCTCCTCTGGTGGGAACTGCACTTTACTGGTTCACAAACAACAATATAATGCATGTTACAGTTGCGTCACTACCAACAAATGAACGCTCCCCACCAACATGGCTCTTTTCAACCAATGAGGGGGTGCTTCTGCTCAAGCCGGATAGGACAGCCATGATCTGATATCCTCCCCACCCCCTCCCTGGCTATGTGACTGTCAAAAAAAGCCTGGCTCTTTTTGCTTTGAGCATGCACATCTTTTCTGTTATCAACTGCTAAACCAGGGCTAGGCAATCTTGCACTGCAGGCAGTCAGGCAGATTACATGGTCCAAAATAAAACCTTCGCTGTTTTTCACAAGAATAGCTGCGGTGGACCAGCAGCGAGGTTTTACGGTGTCGTCATCCTACCTCCCACTCAAGTCGGACGGCAGAGGATCCCAGGGCTACAGCTTTCAAACCGGTGACTGACTTCACAGGTGCTGGAAAACGAGAAAAAATAAAAAATTTGGTCAGGGCCAACACTGTAGTCTTGTCGATCACTAGTCCCCTGCAAGTCCATCACAAGTCACCCAATCTTAAGCCGAGTCATTTACTAAATGCGCCCCAAGCGGGACACAGAGAGGGCGCACTATTCCTAACGGTGGCTTCTTTTGTAAGAACTCCACTTCGCTGGTTCACGAACGACGCGCGTCGCTACTAACAGAATGGACACTTCCCACCAACATGGCACTTGTTAACCAATGAGGGGGTGCTTCTGCTTAAGGCAGATAATGGACTGCAACAAATACATTAAATCCTCCGTCACAGTCCAACCAGTTTACAAAAAAGAGATTATGCATTGCTGGCATCTCCATGGTGTCTCCGAAGCTGTTTTGGTTATTTTAAAAATATAGTAACAGCGAATGTACAAAAGGTTTACTAGAGCCTATCCCAGTGATATAGAACTCTTGCCCTCAGAGGACCTGTTCATGCATAACTTCTATGGTATGGAACTACACTTTTGAAGGAACGTCTGATTGAACTTGTGAAACCCAAGTGGTATACGTCCAGCAAACAAACAACCGTAGAACAGAAAGAAAAGAACAGCTCTTAAGCTATTTTCAAGATGTACTTTGTGTCAGGGAGACATAAATATTAATTACAGGTTTTGCCCTTACCTGAT